ACATACAGTCTCCTGAATTTCTTCCTACTTCACTGGTGGCTGTTGCTCAGTCTCCTGTGTTGATTCCTCCTTTTCTTCCTTATGATCACCTTCTATGAGTCAGTGTGTTCCTCTTCTCTTTTATGTCTATACACACTTGGAGAATGAATGTAGCTTGTGACTTTAAATACTATGGGCATACATTAAAGTACTATAAAACAGAGATGACTCTCCAGCTCACATCTCTATCCCACATCTCTCAATTGTACTCCAGATTATGTGTCCAAATGCCTACTCATAATCTCCATTTGGATGTTTAATGTCCAAAGATAAATCCCTTATGTCCATCTAGGGTCTTTTCCATCTCAGTGGATAGAGAATACATCCTTCTTATGACTGAGTCCAAAGACCATGGAGTCACCCTTGACTCTCCATTGCTGTATTTCCCCACAATATTTCTGTAAACTATGACCATTTCCCATCTCCTTTATTGTCATCACACTTGTGAGAAACACCATCACCTTTTTCAAGTTAATTACTTACAGAATACAATATTTTTACCCTCATATATTTAGTCTTTTTTCAACAAGAAACCAATAATTTATTATTTTCACAATATAGTAAAACATGCAATATTAGGTAAAATATAAATAGTGAATAAAATCATCTTAATAACATAGCTGATTTTTAGATGTATACATATGTGTATATACCTATTATTCTCTGCTCAAAACAAAACAAGAGCCACTTCTGGCATGCCTGACTTTCTAGATTATCCTCCTCTAAAGTTTATTGCTAATGCAATTTCTTCTTTCAGTGATTCATTTTGTCAATCTTGAAGTTCACATAAATAGACATTTTAAACATTTTTATTAGCATATAGTGATTGCACGGGGGATTCATTGGGACATTTACATATGTGCTTATAATATATCTTAATTAGGTTCATTCCCTCCATCATTCTCTCTCATCCTCCATGCCCTTTTTCCTAGAACAATTTCAAGGTTTCATCATTCAGTTTTCATACCCATATACAAAGTACATTGACTATATTCTCCTTCCTTCACCTTCTTTTTTCACCCTCTTCCTTCCCACTGGTACCCACTCTGGGACAGAACCTATTTTACCTTCTTATCCTTCATTTTTACTAAGTATACATTCATCAGTGCATCCTTTTCTGGGTCTGATTTCATTTGCTTATTGTTAGGAAAGCTCTGGAAAGAGGTCACTTGCTTTATCTGTAAAAAAGAGTTTAAACTAAGATTAGGAGCTAAATTTAGAAGAAGTTTAGACTAAGATTAGGAGCTAAACTTTAAACATAGATTGATGTCTAGCCCAATCTATAGAATTTCTAATTCATAGTTTTGAAGGTCCAGCATAAGCAATTAGTATGTTTTTAAAAATCCCAATGAGAATTTAACAGGTAGACTTTGGATTTGATTATGCTAATTCATTGTTTTCCTTGTACTCATTTCTTTCTTCTTTTCTCTATTCTTTCTCAAGTATGCACTCAACACCCATCAGATACCAAATACCATAGTATATCTAAGTAAGTAAATCAGCATACCTGTGAAAACTTGACGGTCATGTCTACATGCCCACAAACCAACCATGGGAAGTCAGGAGAGATCAGGACAATATTGACCGGGTAATAACCTAGTAATTTTGAAATAATTTAATTTTTGGCAAAATAATTGGTTGCTTACAAATGGCTGACTCTCATTTAAATTTGGTTTTCTTTCCTTTAATAAGTGGTATATCCACACAAATTAGACTAAAAAGTAAATTTATTTTTCATACACAACACATAGGGACACATAGCATGTAAGGGTATCCTAAAGAATTATCTGTAATGAAATACTGTATTTTGAACATTGTTTTCTTTGTCTGTTAGCTGGTTTCCTTAAACCCCTGTAGAGTTTGTGCTTCTAAGGATGATTTCTCACCTTCTCATTAGCCATTGACTATAGGCACCTTCCACCCCACAAACAGAAGCAATGTAGCCATGGAAATACTCTTATTGTCTTTAGATGGAGTTCTTCAGGTTGTAGATTACCATCCACTAATGTAGATCCTGAATGCTATCTAGTGGATTTGAACCAACATTTAAATAGGTTAAGGTAAAAATAAAGTACTATAAAGCATCACAAAGTGGATTGAATTTAGTAAGGCCAAGTACTTTTCCCATGAAAATGTGTTTCCCACTCATTATGTATATATGTATATTAGATTGTGTTATTCAAAGTATTTCTTGCTGTGGGGTCAGTCAAAAATTTAGAAGATACCTTAAATTTTAGAAAATCTTACTAAAGTATAAAAAGTTATTCTAAATAAAATTTGACCTCAAATATTAGGTATTAAAATGTAATTTGAATTTTGATGTTTACTATTTATCTGATTCAAACAACACTGAGGAAAAATAATTTCAGTGGCTTGAATAAATTTTATGGCAAAGTCACTTCTATCTCTTTGTGAGTGTTCAAGAAAGTTTATAAGTTTTGAGTTCAAAAAATAATTGTGGCTTCATGTGGGAAAAATGTGATTAACACAATATTTATAGGAGGTCTAGTTAACTGGAAAATACTTAAGAACGATTTTTTTTAAAAAACGGGAATGATGAAAATATAATCTCTAGAATTTATTGAAGTAAGAAATAATCATTATCCATTAGTGTCTAATAAATCTAATCTAATAAAAAGTCCACACGAAAGATTTTAAAATATGCCTCTGGTGAGGAAACTGACCACATAAATGCATTTAGCAAGATTTCTTAAAGCCATTCATTTTTATTATAATTTTTGATGTGTAAAACATATAGCATAGTACTAGCAAGAATGGATTGAATTTATAGATGGACTAAAATTAAGTATGGGTAATATTATTTTCTTAAGATATGTTTATTATGCTAATATATTGTTGAGATTTTAATTTGGGTCAATAAATATTGCTGAATAAATGAACTTTAATCAACTAGCCTTTACTTGTCATATCTGAAACTATGTATTGAAGTACTTATTCCCTTGCTATTACCATAGCAGAAACAGATATAACTATCTGAAATGTTGGTCAGTCCTCTTAGTGAATGACTATAAGGGGTTATTACAAAAAGCTGAATGCTCTAGATGAATAGATTTGACAAGAATAAAGAATATGTCCCCTTTCCTATATTTGGGTTTTCCTATTTTCTCTTTCTTTTGGTGCATATGAAGTGTCTCTAAAATGCAATCTAGGCATCAGTCTATTTTATGTGCTGGTAAAATGGCAGACTAAATAGCTTTTCTCACAGACCTAAAAACTTTATCAATCCTTTTCTTACAAACTTAAAAACTTCATCAATCACTAGCTTTTCTATTGAAATAACCTGTTCATATGTTATAAAATCTACTTAAACTTGGATAATAATATTCTGTTAACATTTTTCAGTGTAATATATGTTTGAGTCAGATAGCTTCCTACTTTCTATAAAAGACATTATTACTATAAAATTAATATCAAGACTATTGTTCAAAACATTTAAAACATTCAATCTAATTTTCTTTTCTCAATATTAGACCATAATAGTTAGTTGGTGTTTTTCTTTTATTTTTAATGGCTTGGAAATAAATAATTAAAGAATGCTTGGGATAAATACAGTTGAATATCCATTTTTCCCCATTTCTTCTTTTCTTTGCTCCTTTTCATCCTTATATGATCTTATTGTCTAGTACAAAGTGAACTGTGAAGAAGGGACAGGATTTGACGTGCATCTCAGCACTGGATATTCAGATGATGAGAAGGTAGAACAATAAGATTCATTACTTCCTCTTGGATTTGCCTGTTCAGCTCTATTCTTGTTTTCAGAAGAGTCATTTCAGTAAGACTTACGTTGGATGTGAATCAATATAAAAAATCTTTTTTTTCCCTCAAAGCAGTTGTATATACCTTAGCTGTTGTCATTTTTGAACAAAGAATATCTCATTAGATATTATTATTTAATTTTAATTTTGCACAAAATTACATTTATAAATAGAATATTTTTTATCTATTTTGTAAAGAGACAGATTCATGACTCTACTTTTTTCTTTCAACATTTTTTAAAGGGATATTTCAATCTTACCATGAAGCTAAGCTGGAGAGGACATTGGCAGACTGTGTGTACCTTCGTGCATGACTTTTGATGAGAATTTAATAAGACAGATATAAAAACAACTTGCCAAGTTGTTAACTTTAAATCTCTTATTTACTTTTTAATTCCAAAATTTATAGAATTCTAAAAAACCACTCACAAAGAACTGGATCTTTCTAGCTTTCTACACTCTTCTGAAAGACTCATCTGTATAATTTCAAGACCAACCTTCAGATCAATCTCTGTCTTCACATAAATCGGCCATTTGATTTCATGTTTCTTACCCAAAGTGGTTAAAAAGTAGTTGTGATATTGAAAGCACTTATTTAAAACTCATAAATTTCATCCTTTTAAAGCAGGAGAGACAACATCTATATTTAATCAGAGGATTATTCAACTGCAGAAATATAAATATTAACTTCTAAAATAAAGACTTGATATGGTTTGGAATAAAAATATATCTCATTTCTTTCATTTACCAACCTGTTTCCATCATAGTCCATTTTTTGAAACAAAAGAAACTGGTAACAAATATTATCAGTTGAATCTCGATTACTCACATCCTAATATTCTAAGAATTACATGTGTAACAATCCCTTCGCGTATGTATGTTTTCTTTGAGACTGATTTATAAAGTACAAAGTCTAGTTTTATTGTAAGTAGGTGGATTGCTACTCTGCAAGAATGCCATTCTTGATCAGGCCTTTATGGATTGTTTGTAAGTACTAAGCTGGACAATGAAAGCTTTATAGTCACTCTATAAATAGTCAAGATAATTCTAGTTAGACTCTGGTAAAGATCTCTAGAATGAAATGAATGTTAAGTATTTGTTCTTTCTTTCTGGTTTCATTCTTGCTTGTGTATTTATTTAACAATAACATTCTAACTTGCTTTTTCACTGCTTTTCACATTGCAGATTGAAAATGTTGATGTCTGCCTTAGTTTTCTAGCAGCCAGAGGAGTTAATGTTCAAGGCCTATCTGCTGAAGGTAAGAAAATTGCAGTTGTCATAGGTGATATCAGTGCTTCTAAAGGATTTGTGGTGATGTGAGAAATGTGGTGTTGGAATATGTAGCTCTTAGTATAATAAAAGAGATTGACAAACTTCCAAAATAACAGAATCATAAACATAAAATTTGTTAGTGTATGCTTTAGTTGTTTAAATATTTTCTATATTTTATAGAACTGTTCAGTACAAAACTGAGTATATATGATTGGGTAAACCAACATAGCACTAATATGTAAAACATATTAGTGTATAACATTTTTAGGATTGATTGTTAGGTCAATGCTGAATAATAGATGGACATAATTACAGGTTAAAATGAATTTTAATTCATGCTCAGATATTATTTTATCAATAATAATTTCTGTAATCAATTTAGTAGTAACTTAAAAATATTTATAAGTTTAAGTACGTCACCATGAGATCTTAAATAATGAGATCAACCATATTAATAACTGCAATTTTTAAAGATCTTAAAATCATTAAAGTTGGAAGGATCCTTACTAAAATTAAAACAGCAACATGGGAAAATATTAAACTAGTTTTATCTATTTTTTCAGAACCTCCTTATCTATAATATACAAAGATGATGAAACTTTGCAAAAAACTTACTATACATAAGACACCATTTTCCATCATAAGAAAACTAAATGATTTGTTTCTGTCTCCTTTCCTCAACTGTCATCTATCCATCACTTTTTCCTTTCTTTATCATTCAAAATCTTACATATCACATTTATTAGAGTATGATAAGAAGCTTTGTGTCTACTTGAATTATTAATGATACAATTACTAATACATAAAATGGAATTTTAATATTTTGAGAAACATTTGAAAAATGTTCAAATGCTATTAATAAAAATCAATTGATAAGACTGTGAAATAGGAAGTCCATTGGAAAAGCACTAATGGTAATAACTAAAATATGAATTGTATATTTAAAATTATGCTAGATACTATTAAACACTTGGATAATTTATCCTTTCCTACAATTAATTTGCTTTGATTATCTCCTTTGCCACCAATATTAGAAATACTAGACAGTTCTACATTTTTAAGTGCTATTTTCATTGGAATAAGAAATTATGTGGTTCTGAAATATAATGGACATATAGTGGAATTTTTTACCTGTCTCAGTTTTTCTTCTATACTTAAATTGTCCTTAATTTTTAATTTCTTTTGTATTTATATATTATGATGTAGGATTAAATTACACATTTGATATTGACTTACATTCAAATCTGACTGGTTGCTCTGTTACTTAGAATGAAATTTCCCAGGATAGTATTTTGTTTCCTAAGTGTCAAAGGCGAGCTAGAATTGCTTCTTCCATGGTTCATTTTATACTACTTCCTTCTGACATGAAAACGTTCGTTGATATAAGCCTACTGATTTTCAATCATCTATTAAAAATATGTGTATGCTCAAAATGGTGTTCTAACTTATACACAGCAATAATGAAACAAAAACTAAAAACTTCCATTAATAAAGATAATTCTGATTTATAGGAAAAAATAATATGTTCTCACTGTAGCTTCCTTGATCAAGCCATCTCTTTTATATTAAGGAAACTGTGAAGGTCTGGGGGAGAAAAAGAACTCAGTGATGCAGTTTACATGGCTTAGTCCACTTTATAGTTTGGGTAATATGATAAAGCATCACAGAGAAAAAAGCTAAAATAGTTCATTAGTGATCTAAACCCCAGAAGGGGACATAAAACCTTGACCTTAGTGCAGAAGGTATTTAGTTGTAAGCAGTACATTTTATTTGAAATGTAATAACAGGTTGTGTAGCCTTATTTCAACCTTTACTTCCTCTCTTTTCCTAGTTTTAACTGCAAAAGAAAAAAGTAGGGCTTATCCTGTGTCTGACTTTATGAATTTAATTTTATTATTCAATAGCAGAAAAACTTCACAAGCTCTATTAGAACTTATGTTTATTTAATTATGTTGCTTAATGTCAGGTAACCTAATTTTTGCTTAATAATGTATAGTATGAAATAAAGGATGATTTTTAGATTAATTAAAACTGATATAATGTCTACGTTTTGGAAGACATATGTATATTTGGAAGATATATACACATGTACAAATAGCTAGTTATGATTCAGAAAGAATGTTGACTGCTGTAAATTCAATTCATATTATGAAGTACATCCACACATTTATATGTTTATATATTATATATTTTTATAAATGCAGAACAACCAGTATTTAAGTGACTTGCTTTTTCTAATTTATAGCCACTGCTATGTTGGTGACAGTTGTGTATATGTGTGAGGGAAGCAGAGTGCAAAAAATCAAATGATTATCACAAGACAGGAGCACATTTCAAGAACAATTACTCTAGGAAAACTGTAAAGACCATCTCTGTTGAGTGAGCTTTGTTTACTCACCCTCCATCCTCTCCCTAAAATTCCAAACTACTTGGAAATATTAGGACACTGTGGAAAATCAGATTTATTTGAAATTTTGACTGAAAGAATCAAGTAGTACTGTAGTATTTCCATTTTCCTAGATTTTCAGAAGATTTTGTCTAGAATTTAATTGGTTAAAATTTTTAATTCAATGTATATGATACTCTTTTATATTTTCCATTTGATACAGAAATAAGAAATGGAAACTTAAAAGCCATTCTAGGACTGTTTTTCAGTTTGTCTCGCTACAAACAGCAACAACACCATCAACAACAGTATTACCAGTCCTTGGTGGAACTTCAGCAACGAGTCACTCACACTTCCCCACAGTCGGAAGCCAGTCAGGCCAAAACCCAGCAAGATATGCAGTCCAGGTAAGGAAGGCAGGCAAGGAATGTATTTAAAACTAGTTTGTCTCAACACTTCTTTATTTAAAAAAAAAGTATTGTTTAGAAATTTGGAAACATATTTGTATAGTTTTATCATGAGATGGTAATATTTGACTAGTGTTATAGAAGTTAAAATTACTTTTCTTTTGGTTGAACAAGAAATATATCATTTCTTAGAGAATTTTTTTGTTTTCTAAAGATAACTGTTCTGTATCAAACTGTGTGAAACGTCTTTGGTGTAAGCAATGTGGCGTGGCTACTTCCTTCAATCAATTACTTTAGTATGTGAAATGTGCTATTGAGTTCTGGTCTCCTGTTGTGTAGTTATCTTTTGTGATGCTTTTGATTAATTAAATCTGTCAAAAATTTAAGGTCTGTTAAATCTAGAAGTTTGAGTGTTTGGGAACCTACTGTTTTGATTTAAGATTGTGTGTGTGTTTATGCATATACATGTATGTGTTTGTCTAGCTTTTGCATCTCCAGGCATGAAGACATAGCCTGAGGTGGGGTGCTCCCAAATCATGATACCTTACTTCCCTCTTCCATTACTGCTTCCCCCACCCCAGTTTGGAATTATAACAGTCAGTGTTCAGAGAAACAATACCAAAAGTTAAATAGTATATTTATTGTGAATAACAGGGTTACATGATTGTGGGGCTGGATAGACAAGTCTGAGATTGCTTTTCTAAAGAAATAGGGTGTAAAACTAAACTTAATCATCTTTAAAAATATATACACGTCAAATGAATGTACATTTTAAACATTTTCTACTTTAGAAGCTAAGCTTAATACCTAGTAATACTCAGCTTACCTTGAGTTTGCTTTCATTGACAAATGCTGATTCAAAAAATTAAACTTTTTTTTTTTGGTGGGACTTGGGTTTTGAATTCCGGGGTTTGTACCTGGGTGCTCTTCTACTTGAGCCACACCTCCAGCCCCAAAATTAAATTTTCAAAACACTTTCACAAACCATCTACCACTATTGATTACTTATCTGATCAGAAACCTCTTTCTTATTAATCAGTCAACCAACTCTCATATGGACTTTGTTTTTTACTTCATATTAAATGATATTTCTTTCTCTATATACTATGTTAATTATATTCTCTTTGGAATTTTTTTTACATATTAAAAAGTCCACAGAATAATAGAAGATAGTTTTCAATATTTTGTAATTCAGATATTCTTCTGTTCTTTATGCTAGTCTGGCTTTCTGTGATGTCAAGTGAAATTGTGCCAAAGTCAAATCAAAATGAATAAAGACATGTTAGTGTAATTTTCTTGGATTTCATTAAGAACAGGGAAGAAGAAAATAGGAAACATCATTTTTAAAAATTAGTTTGTGTGTGGACAGTTGACGTGACCAAGATTTTGAAAACTGCCAGAAATAACATTTCCTAGAGTTTGGTTTAAGCAATTTGAGTAGAGAGGCAAAAATAGTATCTGAAAAAAATAACATAAATAAGGTGATTTTGTACAAAGCATGTTGACTCTGGGAGTGATATGGAATATTATTTTTCATGTCTATACCTCACTCTATTCCTGTATCTGCCATATAGATCTTCTTGTTGAAATTTCTTACCCAGAATTTCTTGATAATTTTGACCTTTTAGGGGAAATGTTTCTTTTCCTACACTTTTTGCTGGATATACATGGCTGCTATGAAACTCCACAGTATTTTAAAATGTAAATCAATATACAATAACCATAGCTTTTCTACCATTTTGAGGAGAGACATATTGTTTTTATTGTAGGATTTTAAGAAAATGTGTTCTTTTCACTAGTGCCCTTTAAGACTGAGGTAGACATTTAGATAATTTTTCTTGTACTAAAGTAGATTTAATTAGTTTTGAACTGATATTTGATTTAATAAATGTTTGTATATTACTCACTTACTAAATGCGGTACTCATGATCCTGATATAGAGGAGTTCAAAGTCAGTTTTTATAGAATTTGTTATACATTTTGAAGAATACTTCATTATATTTTAGATACTTACTTCCATTGACATAGAGTTGGCATTCTGAATTTGTCCATGAATTAGAATTTACATGGACTTACCTGTAACAATATTTCTTAAGCATTTTTCCAAAGCCTATAGTGATAACATATTTAGGAAAGCAATACATTAACTTTGTGTTAAAACCAAGATAATTGATTTAGAAAAAACCTAGAGACATATTTATCTTCATTTTCTGGAGGAATGAGTCATAAATTATGATTTATGACACCTTTGTATTGATTTCAAAATTCTGTCCAAGTTGAAATGAAAATAAAATGTAATGTTTTTCTGTGTAGAGTAATAAAATTTTCTCAAGGCACACAGCTTTAGTTCAGTGAGACTCTTTTTATTTGGTTCTCTTTATTTAGAATAAATTGGTGGGACCAGGAACTAGAGAAAAGGTTAGTTCGAGAAGAATTAATTTAGAAGGTAACACACATGGACAGGAAAGCAATGCGAGTCAACTCCCTGTATAGCTATCCTTATCTGAACTAGCAAAAACCCTCGGTCCTTCCTATTATTGCTTATACTCTTTCTTCAACAAAATTAGAGATAAGGGCAAAATAGTTTCTGCCTGGTAGCGAGGGGGTGGGGGGAGAGGGAGGGGATGGAATAGGTAAGGGAGGGGGTGGGAAGAAGTGGGGAGAAATGACCCAAACATTGTATGCACATATGAATAAAAGAAAAACAAGAATAAATTGGAATGATTTTATATATATATATATATTTCCAGAATATTTATTTTATATTAGGAATTTTTAATTTGGTTTTACTGTTTTAGAAATAACTCCATGTGTTTTCAATCAATTTAAACATCTTTTCATTTAAACAGACAATTTGATCTAAAGGTTAATAGGTAAAACATGCAAGAAAGAAAACTAAACATGGATCTAAGGGATGGAATGTGGGTAACAAACTCTATTCTGGTCTCTCTGTTCCCTGTCCACCTATGTGTACACATAGACACTTGTGAGTGTGTGGATGTGAGTGCATACATGTAAGCATGAGTGCATGTGTATGCATACATGTGTATATGTGTGTGATGGCATGTTTGAAAGGCCTAGCTCTAATCCTTAAGAGCTCCTGTCTAGAATCCAACTGTAAGAACTAGGTCCCAATGCTACCAGTTCCAAATTGTGTGATGTTGGTCAGCTTATCTAACTTCCTTGTAATCTAGTTCTCTTATTTGCTAAAAGAGAATTAAAAAATGGCACTATGAGGTTATTTGGGGGGGTGGGTGACATGCACTTGTATAGAAGGCTTTGAACCTACCTGGCACATGTCACTTCCCTGATCCAAAGCCTACAAATGGTCTCAAATAGTGACCATTTGTCACTCTCACCTTAGTAAGCCTACTATAGCCAGTTCATTAATGTGGAATGCTGTTCCTGAGAGCAGTTTGACTAAATCTCCCACCTCCTGTAAATCAATTGCAGAAATCCCACCTCCTCTATGACACTTACTTTGACCTCACTTTTAATACCACAGTCTGCACATCCCCACTTCACATTGGACTTTATGGTACTTTTTTTCCATGGTGCTAACCACCCTTACTTACAATTTGCTTATTTTTTTCATTGTATATTATCTCCACTGTCCCAACTATAGAATATAAGCATTGAAAGAACAGCAATATATTTTTATTTTGATCACTGCTGTAGTGCTAATCTTTTATCATGGACCCTAACTAGCTTAGTAGTTTCTCAATATTTGAATATAAAATTTATTACATAAGAATTAATGATCTGTATTATTGCTGCTTCTAATTTAAAGTAGGAAAGTTTATAAGATTTATAGTTACATAGGCACAGAAAGACAAATACCATACATTCTCACTTATATGTGGAAGCTAAAAAGTTTATGTCAAAGAAGTAGAAAAAAGAATAGTTTGTTTTCAAAGCTTGAAAAAGGTGTGGGTGAGGGTGAGATGGAGAGAAAGGTTAATTAGTACAGGAGTGCAGTTAGGTAGGAGGACTAGTTCTATGTCTTAATAGCACAGAGAATAACTATGGTGAACAATAATTAATTGGAATAGCTCAAATATAAAAGCAATTAATGTCTGATTTGGTAGATAGGCTGATTACTCTGACCTGATCATTACACGGTGTATACATTACTGAAATACCACACTGCACCTCATAAGAATGTACAATTTTTATGTGTCAGCTAAAAATACAAGTACAAAAAATAATCATCTAGAAGGATTTCATTATAATTTGAAAATATTATGGAACTTAAAAGAGAGTGCAAGGTATGAGAGTGATTGCCATATAAATAATGCTTAAAGCCACCAGAAGAGATAAAATCATGTGGTGAGTGAGACATGAAGAACAGAGGGGCAAAGACTATCCTCTGAATAATTGTGACATTCCTCTTCTTTGTCCATTCTTCTGCTTGAATTTTCCTCTCTTCATAATCACAGAACACACATAATATATATAGAATTATTATTACCTTAAAATCATAACTAAAGCCTGTCTAGTTTTGTAGGAGTTCCATTTATCAATCTTCTCTAATCTACATTGAGGAAAATTGCTTTTCTTACCTGTGTTGGCAAAATTCATGACAAATATTTCCTTCAAGGCCACAGTTGGTGAAGGTCTTGTATCTGTACCACAGATAGAGAACTGGTTTATTGGCCTTTCATAAATGGATGGACAGGAGCCTTTAGGTGTTGTGTATTGTTTAAAGGCTAAAACTAACTTCTAATTGCATGGAGGGAACAGACAATAGGACTCTTCATTTCATTGTTATTAGTTGTCCTAAGGCCCACTGTGGACATCATACTTTGCCAATACACTTAATAAAAGATTACTAACTAGGTTGGGAGAAAAAATTAAAAATTAAAATTGTATGTATTTATTAAGTTAGTATGATAATGATAACTAAATATGTGCTTTTAAGGTTGAGGTTCCCATGACATTGAACTACAGTAAGTTTAAATGTGGTTAACAGGAACTATCAGAGATTACCAAGGTGCAGG